TTGACGAAACAGGTGGACTAGCAATGGTCCGACCCGATTGTCTGCATAAACTAGAGATATTCATCAGTATGGACAATATCAGGGTGGTACACCAAACGAAAAGTTTCCTTACACTTACCTGATGAACAGTTACTGATAATCACAAGTTCCTCACTTGAACCAGCTAAAAAAATAGACGCAGCAGAGGTAGAAATCTTGTTATTTGAACTGTAGAAGTTCGTGATGACCAAGGGATGCACCTTCTCAAAAAAAGTTTGTTTTCCAAGATGTGAGCCTTCAGATGTGAATGCTCTGGTGCCTGTGGCAACAACCAGTAGAAATGACTCAGAACAAAATCCATTATATTTCAAAGATCAAACATTAAATGGTACAAAGCTACAACTAAATATTTCCCCACTGATATGTCTTAACTGGCCTGTAAGATGTCTTGAACAATGTGCACAATAAGTTCCTAACTTGTCTGGACACTCTGAGCATTTTTAAGACTCCTTAACCAGAAGCAACACATACTTTTTTATTTTTCGAGCCTAAACCGTAGAACAACTCAGGGCAAAACAGGGCAAGGCGGAAAAGATAAGAATCTGGATAGAATAGAATCTGTAATTTAACTATGACTTTGTTTCCTAGAGCGGGCATTGGTTGATCTTTGTTTTGTATTTTAAACTTTGTACATATTTATTATTAATGAGGCAACGCATACTTGATATCAGCATCAGCATATGTATGCAAAGCCAATAATTCTTTGGAATAACATACTGGTTCATTTTAAAAAGTAGCTAGATGACAGAACACAAATGATTCGTTTCATAATTGCTGAGCAGGACCTTGAAAACAGGCCTGGTTTAATACTGGCAGGACCTTCAAATAAGCACGAGTCAGTTATATGCCATTTAGGCAGCAAATTCCAAGTAAGGCCTCTCTATTTGAAGGCCTGGATAAACAGTGTTCAATTTGCCGGATATTTGCAAGAAATAAACGATTGTGTCTACAAATATTAGAGTTGACTTTGGCCTAATGGTCCGAGACAATTGCTACTCTTGTTTTCTGGTTCACGCAGTATGATTATATTTCTGCAGTGATCATTGGACTTGTAGAGAATTAGAGATCGATGTGCTACATGATTGGATTTATTTTCACTACTTTGTATCAGTTAGTTGATCATACATGTATTGAATAAATCAGATGTACTTTTACCTAACCTTATATGATAAGTATAAATACTAATCATCATAAAAATTGATGATAGGAAATTGGAAAAGCGATATTGTAACACCTAAAAAAAATTAGAATACTTTTTAGGATCACTCAGAACAGTATGCTAGTACCTTAAGGGCAACCTGGTGCATGTAGCTCCCGCTTGCGCAGGGTCCAGGGAAGGGTCCGACCACTTTGGGTCTATAGTACGCAGCCTTTCCCTACATTTCTGTAAGAGGCTGTTTCCAGGACTTGAACCCATGACCTCATGGTCACAAGGCAGTAGCTTTACCACTGCGCCAAGGCTCCCCTTCATGCTAGTACCTTAGGAAAAAGAAAATAATTTGACACAAAGCTTTAGGGACAGATGAATGAAACATTTCAGAGTAGGATATTAACAAAGCTAGTTAAGGCACTTTATATTAATTGGTAAGCCTCCTTAATTGTCAACATATCATGTACCAAACTATCCAAAAACGACAGAAGGATTTCGATCTAGATTGAAGTATAAATATTTGGTTTGGCAGCCATAATAAGCATAAAAGGGTAAGCATTTAAGCATGTTTTAGCAGCACGCCAAGTTCTACACATTGTACTGGTATACACTTAAAACAAGTTAGTATTCGGTTAAGTGTGTTCCTCAAAAATAACTGTAGCAATCTTATCCTACTGAACAGATGGTTTGCATCCGAAACATTTATTTACATCTAGAAATATTCTATGCCCTCCATTCCTAAATATTTGCCTTTTTAGATATTTCAAATGGACTACCACATACGGATGTATATAGACATATTTTAGAGTGTAGATTCACTCATTTTGCTCCGTATGTAGTCACTTGTTGAAATATATAGAAAGACAAATATTTAGAAACGGAGGAAATAAGAAATTGTAGCCATTACTTAATAGTTATCATGCGGCATAAGTGCATGGCTATACAAGAACATGGAGGATACATGATCACTTGTGCCGATTACAAAGGTCTGACTAGCCATTTATAGAACATGGATACATACCCAAAACACAAAACATAATAAACATGACAAGGCAATAATAACGGCATTAAATGCAAGATTTCAAATTCAAAATTTTGAACTGGCCTTTGCCTAAACGGACAGTCGGTTGGGGGCCTGGTGCGAGTCCAGCCACATAGATAGCTGTGACGACGCATATAGGCAAGAAGCGGCATGGCTAGGCCGACGATCCCCTCCTCATAGCTCACACCTTAGAGCATCTCCAACAGGCGTGCAACGCACGACGCACTAAAACATGCTTTACAGCACCGGAATAGTATATCTTTGGGCGCAGCAGTGCGCTGGCTCCAGCGCAGCTGCAAAATATTGCCCGCGCGCGCCGGAATCTCCTGCGCCCGCTGGAGCGCGCGAAACCGGTCCGCGCGCGCTAAAAAGCAGGTTTCCCGCACGCGTGATATTTACCGCCGCTGTTGGAGATGCTCTCACAGGGTGTGTCTTCTCCAGGCAGGTTTTGCATCAGGTCCTCTCTGCAGGAGATCATCTCACAGCCGGATGAGGCTTCCAATCCTTGGTTCGAGAGTCCAAACAGCGGCTGAACGCGCAGGCACCAACACGTTCAAGGGAGCCCGTCCGCTAACTATTCTATGAGCATCTCCAGCTGCGCCCCCAACAGGGCCCCAGGGCAACTTTTTTCGCACCGGCGCCGAAAAACTCCCCCAGTCGCGCCCCCAAGATGCCAAAATCCGCCGGCTCGGCCCGTTTTTGGGCCCGGCGATCCCAGGCCGAACCCAGCGCACTGGGGGGCACTTGGGGGCTCCGGCGGAAGGGGAAACCACGTCTGGGCC